GTTTACCGCTTAAATTATATATTTAATTTTAAGTAGTACTAAAATAGAAAGGGAGGCACGCGGTAGCGTAGTTAGTTGAGGGGCTATGCTACAAGCCGGAAGATCGCGGGTTCAGGTCCCGATGAGGTCATTGGATTTTTTCAGTTGACCTAATCCTTCCAGCCTCACTGTGGCCTTGGGGTCGTTTTGGCCTCTAACATGAATTAGTACCAGGAATTAATTAAATAATTTTCATGTGGAGTAAAGCGCGGCCGGCGCGTAAGGCTGACAACCTTACCGCCATCTTTGAGCCGATTGTCTAGATAATGTGGGAGCCTCAACGTCTCACAACCCTATGGGCCTCCACGGCTTGTTACAGGGATAGCTTTACTTTTACTTTACTTTCTTTTCCTTGGCACTACAGCCTCAGTGCGCCTAGGCCTACCTCCATGAACTTCTCCGTTCACTTCGGTTTTTCTAGATCTTAGACATTCGGTAGGACTCCTTGGGCGGGTGATGAGCTCGTCGCAAGGCCTCTACCTGTACACAAACACAGAAAAACGCGCACAAACACAAACTAAACATCCATACCCTGAGTGGGATTCGAACGCACGATCCAGGTTTCCGAGCGAGCGAAGACAGTTCATGCCTTAGACTGCGCGGCTACCGTGACCGGCAGTGTATAAGAATAATATATAAGAATTCAGTTCGTACCTCACAGGAAACAGATCCGAACCCACGATCCCGGCTTCCAAGCGAGCGAAGACAGTGCATGCCTTAGACGGCTCCGCTACCGTGACCGGCAGTGTATAAGAATAATATATAAGAATTCAGTTCGTACCTCACAGGAAACAGATCCGAACCCACGATCCCGGCTTCCAAGCGAGCGAAGACAGTGCACGCCTTAGACCGCTCGGCTACTGTGACCGGCAGTGTATAAGAATAATATATAAGAATTCAGTTCGTGCCTCACAGGAAACAGATTCGAACCCACGATCCCGGTTTCCGAGCGAGCGAAGACAGTACATGCCTTAGACCGCTCGGCTACCGTGTCCGGCGTTAATTATAAATACACACCATTAAATTTGCAAGACAAGACTGTTGACTTTGAAATTCTAATGAGCTCAGAAGAAGAAGGAAAAAAATAGCGTCACTCCGTGGCAGTCAACGCAGTTCTAAAGTATGGAACAGGTGACAACAGACTGCTGACAATCTTCCACAAACTGCCGTGGTACCGAACACCCTGACATAAGGCATCCCCGCAATCTTAAAGGGGCAGCAGTTCAGATAACATGTTTGCAACTTTATCTTCCAAGAACAGTTGTTTATAACTTCAAATTACTTTCGTAAGACGTGTAATTCGAAAATAGATTAATAAGTGTAACACCTGGTAGAAAAGAAAATTGCAGCAATACTAATAATAATAATAATAATAATAATAAAGTTATTGCTGCATTTAATTAGGTAAGCACTATGTCATGAATCCATACGGGGAGTGGAAATGTAGCTCCACTTTTCTTGACCACGGCACGAGATGCATGTGAGAGCGCTTACCTACAGCACCCGGCAGCAACGCTGTGGAGAAGAGAAAAATCTTGCACTGCCTTGAATCGAACCCGGGCCATCCAGCCAGCAGCCCGTCCCTATACCGACTAGGCTCTCCGGACTACCCAGTAATAATAATAATAATAATAATTACTATTATTATTTTTTCAGGTTACGTAGTCCATAATTTATAAAGACAAAAGACCCAATATAGAACGTAGGGCAATTCATTGATACGATTAAGTGAATGATTGGAACGTGTTAAACGAGAGGGTCACTAAGAAGACCTGTAATGCATAGATGAATGAATTGGACCTCGATGCAGACCCGTTTTGCCCATCTTAAGTTATCACACAGGCGGGAACCTATATGAATTAGCGTTATTGTCTTAAACGGCCGAAATGTTGGTATTAGAGAGGGCAGGACATTTTGACGTCTGAAGGGTTGGTGACGTACACAGTGCGTCCAGGTTCTGTTAGGACTGTGTTCATTAAAAATACAAGACGTGAATTATTTTCAAAATTTCACTCTATTTATTCAAAATAGTCTCCTTCTCCATCAGTACATAGCTGGAATCGATTGAAAGGTTTTCGAAAACAGTCACTGTACTCCATTTGTGGAATTGCATTTAAAACTGCGGTAGATTCCCTTTGGATGTCCTGGATGGTGTCGTAAAGTCTCCTTTCATCGCCAACTTAACTTTTGGGAACAAACAGAAATCTGCTGGAGCCAAATCTGGCGAATATGGAGGATGATCAAGGACTGTGATCCCTTTTCTGGCCAAACAAAAATCACGCACGATCTTCGATTTGTGGGGTGGGGCATTGTCGTGGAGGAGCGACCAGGAACCTTGCTTTCGATATTCAGGTCTAATTCGAAGAATTCCCGCCAACAAACAATTGAGGACTCCGAGATAATAATCAGAATTCACTGTTTGACCTTCTGACAGAAATTCCTTGTGAATGATTCCTTTGGAATCGAAGAAAACGGTTAGCACTCGACTCTTTTGCATGCGCACTTTCTTTGGTTTCGGCTTCTGTGCGCTCAACCACGCTGCACTCTGCCGCTTTGTGAGAGGCTCATATTGAAAACACCATGTCCCGTCACCAGTAACAATCGATTTTGTAAATTTTGTATCACTTTGGGCCGACCGTAACATGTCTTTTCAATGTTCCACTATGACATGTTTTTCATCGCCTGACAGCGCGTGCGGTACAAACCGCGCACAGACCTTCCGAAAAGCTCCTGGATGAGTCTTGCAGAAACACATCTGTCTGATGCAAGGATTTCGGTCACTTTTTCGCGTTTTTTTTTCACTGCGACTTGTTCTCGGCTTTGATGCACGTGGAGCGTCTTCAGTGTCCTCCCTGCCGTCACGAAATACAGCATACCATCTAGAAATGTTCAGCGACTCAAGCACTCACTACCGTACACACTTTTCATCATTTCGTACTCTCTCCGGCTGTTTTGCCTAACTTCAAACAAAATTTGATGTTGGCTCTCTGTTCAACCGCCATTTTCCGACGAGCGTCAGAACAGTACTGTTACATTCCAGGTCAGAACACATGACACAGCGATGCTTGCGCTTTGAAATTATAGACAGCCACAGCTGAAACTTCAAGAATCTTAACGCCACAACTGGCCAACAGATGGTATTTCAGGTCAAAATAAAAGAAAGAAATAGTTCCAACGGATCCTGGACACACAGTGTATGATGGCATAATGAAGGAGCTCACGATGAGACGGAAGTGTAGCGTGGATTGTTAGGCATTAAGTGCTTGGAAAATTCTGTGGGGAATTCTGCTGCAAAAATACCGCTTAGAAGGAGAGAAAGGTAACAGTAAGTATACAGACACAGCGGATAAACAGCCATATTAAGACGGTGAACTTGTTCGTTTCGTAGGCCTATAAGGAAGAAATGACTGTTGCGTTCGTTGTAATGAGGTTATACGCTTAGGTATTTATTCTGTTGTGTTTGGTGTTGGTGGTACGGACAAGTTTGTGAAATAAGTAGAACAAAGAAGCACTTTGTTAGCTTATTTGATATTCAGATATCAACTGCGAACACCACGTCCTTATTTCGTATTCGTGAAGTTTCTCGTTAGAATGTCGGCCCAGCGATCGGTTGTGACAAATATGTTTCGTCCTTTGCTTCAGTCTTTATAAACAAATACAGGGTCAGGACATTAAAACGTATCGTCTTCGCAGTATACCACATCATTACCGTTATATAATGCATATTCCATTTCTTATTCGATGATGTCTGCAAAGCACAGTTGGCAGACAGTCGTCAAATGAAACAGTAAGTATCAGGCAATGAACATGCACAGTTTTACCGTCAACGCAATAATACTTCATTATTTATTTATAGAACACGCACTTATCAAGTCAAGGAGGGTGAGATGGGCAGGGCATGTAGCACGAATGGGGAGGAGAAAAATCGATGTAGGATATTGGGAAAGCCAGAAGGAAAGAGACCACTGGGAAGACTAAGATGTAGGTGTGTGGACAATATTAAAATGGATCTTAGAGAGATAGGATGGGATGGTATGGATTGGATTGATCTGGATCAGGATAGGAACGAGTGGATGGCTCTTGTGAACACGGCAATGAACCTTCAAGGTCCATAAAATGCTGGGGAATTCTTGAGTAGCTGCAGAATTGGCGGCTCCTCAAGAAGGGCTCAGCTCAATGAGTAAGTAAGTAATAACACGCACTACACGTTTCGACCTCAAGCAGGTCATCTTCAGGTGCTGCAAGTTTCTCACATACCATTACCGAACGTAACGCGTTGACGGCAAAAATTGTATATGTTCATTGTACATATACGCAACAGGGTGCAATCCTTAAAAATACAAAGTGTAAAGCATTTTGAGATGAACGCCTAAGGTTAGGTCCCTGTGCTTAAAGATCACATATGAAAACGTACGGAGAGTGAAGCTCCACACGTTTTTAATCTCGTCACTAGTATCACCCTCTTGCCACTTTACCTCAGGGGAAAGTCTCTGAATTGATATTAGTCAGGAGACTGGGTTGGCCCCAGAACCGATGTGCATTCGGTGGTGAAGAGAAAAGAATTCCTGCGGCTGCCGCGAAACGAAGCCTGGTCTTCAGATGGTGATGCCGACTTAAAGAAAAAACACGATTAGCCAGTAAGATATGTTAAATAGCAATGTAGAACTGGGTGTGTGTATGGTTCACGCAAAGCAAGACGTTACGGAAGAGAAAATGGACTACATGGGTTGCCATCGTGTTATTGCTTTCGAGGGAGTCTGCGACTGCTGGACCACTCCACCGTAGCTGTCGGCAGGGCGTTCATTGACTCCCGGAGTCCGAGTGAGTGACCTTCCCTGGTTCGTATATTGTCGGCTGTAATCGTGAAATTGGAGACTCGCTTGCAGCCTTTTCCGATATGACACATCCCTGGAATAGCGACCAGTATGCGGAGCTAACAGTCTCGCGCCTTGACTCCTGAATCTCTGCCAACCGACACGTAAGCATTCAGTCGGCTCGTGTAGTGGTAGGGTCGCTTTATACGTTCGATAACGAAGAATTGACTTATTTTATTGTGAATTGGAGTGTCTTTAAACTTTCTTTTAGTGTAAAAGTGTTGGTGACTCCACAGAAAGTGTTTGTGTTCCAACTAATCAAGTGTTTCTGACTTAATTTTTTCCCCGCCAGTTTAAATTGAGCCTGTAAACTGACAAGTTGCGATTGACATGTAAGTTCTGTTTATTGAGCTAAAGAAATAGATCTTGATTGAATTTACTAATTAAGAATATTACATGAGTAATGTTTGAAAGCATAATGTTTATTTAATGATTAATTCTATGTAGTGTGTGTAATTTAAATTTGCATATAGATTCAAATTATACGAGAAAAAATGTGTACATGTTTGAAACTCGTAATGTGCTGCCAACCTTGCACGATAAACAGGCTTGTCTGTAGTCTTCCACGTATTTAGAAATTCTGAATTGCTATTTTGTAGTTTTCAGTATGTTAGTATAAAATGCACAGCTTAAGTGCAGGTGAAAACGCATACAGCAGACCGCATTACACCGTTACCTGATGTGACCTCAATTTTTGATCTGACGTGTCTTGAACTGAGCGGTCAATCGGTCATATACAGCAACTGGTTGCAGGACATCGCGCTTCTAGTTACAAATGTAATTTAGTGCCATGGTTTATTGTGTACGTATTCTTTTTACATGAGATGATGTCATTCATGTTAAAATATTAGTAGGAGTGTTTTCTTCAGCGAAGTAAGGCGTGGCCTAAGGAATTACGCATTCATTTTTATATACCCACATTGAATCCACGGGCTGCGCTGGATTTCCTACGGACGAGACGAAAAGAGTACAATGTGTGAGTTCAACATTGGGCTAAGGGATGACCCTCAGAACTAAATCCGTGATATTCGTAAACATCAGAATGTTGAACAATAAACAGAACAGGTTTTCACAGTCGTAACATGTCTGACTTGTATTTGGAATGAACCTACTTCGGGGAACTTGCTAACCTGGTTAAGGTTTATCATTTTGAAGTGTTTCGCGAGAAGGATGTTGAGATTTTCAAATATATAGCAGGGGCTTCCTTCCCGAATCGCTTCTGAAGAATAATTTTCTGCTGCCTTTCGCCGATTATATCCTATGCAATTGAAACATTGTCGGTAGAAAACCGAACAACAAAGACGACAAGAAAATCAAAGCGTGCCCTGTAGACTAGGAAGGTTTACTTGTACTTGTTTTTATTATGTGCATTGGAATTGCGACAGGTGGAACTAGCATGTTCATACAGTTAGTCACTGAACGCGCCGAAATATGTTAGCATTCCGCAGCTATGTTCGTGTTAGCTCGCGGGAGTAACGTTTTGTGCAATCGAAAATCAGGCGTGTATGTTATCGGTTTGGTCCCCATAAATCATTTGTAAACATGTTATGAATTTCGTTGTAAAACTTGTACATCAGAAAGTGATGCGTATTATTTCCTCGTGCGTCACGAAGTCCATCCATATGTGTTTTGCACATGAGCCTTGCGTGGGCATGAGTGACTGTGGTGCTGAAATGTCAAGATCCCAGGATGAGCATAACACACAACAAGAAATTGAACATAGTATTCATTACACGTAATACGTATTTAGGGAGGTCGTGGGATATTTGGCAGATTCTGAGGGGTCAGTTTTATGTAGCAAATGTTTAATAGAATGTGTTTATACTGTATAGGGCAGGGCCAACCCACAATGTACCATTGCCTCTCGTTTTTTTTTTTAGGATGAAGGAGGTTCGTGTGGGTACAAGACCTAGATAGAGAACAGAATTTGAAAACTGTCTGAGAAGAAATTCGTTATGAAGAAATCGGCCGGATTTACCTGGCGATAGGATCAAATGGCAAGATTCTGTTATGATGTCGATGAAGCTTCCTGTTCAAAAAATAATACAAAGCTGTAGTCGCCGTTAAATGGGTAGCACTCGTGTTTTGTATTCGGTAGGTCCTGTATTCGAATTTCGGCCCGGAGGCCGGCTCTCCCGTCTGACGATTTTCGTAGTATTCCTCAGCCCCTCCAGACAAATACCGGGATTGTAGGCTTAATCTCCTCATGCGTTTCAGTTAATGTCTTCGCATACCAGCCTACCGTTTGACGTCGTACAATCTGGAATAATCTCAGCTGTATACACGAATATCCGGTACATGCACAAAACCAAGAACCTAAGACATGCCGTTCGACTTTTACAGCACACGATTTGCTATTCCTTGTGCTGAGACCGCTGACTAACGTGTCGTGATGAATGTGTACAGTGTAAACAGGATATTGCATAGGTGAAGTCTATTGCAAAAGTTTTCAGCTTACATTCTTCGGTCTTTACCGGTATTAATCGCCATTAGGTGACAAACAAACCGCCCGCTCGATAGACTTCACTCGTCGAAGTAGGAACTTCAGTGAATAATATTTAAAAATTCAATCACACTGCGTCCCCATTAAAAATACCAACGGATTAACGCTGTTAAGGACGACAATCACAGTTTATTCTAAGAATTATACGAAACACGTCAATACACTCTGGGCGACGGAGAATTTTGTGAATGTTAAAGGAACTGCTACAACCCGTCTGACCAGGGATTTCCGATTCGATGGGGGCGCTGGAATGCTGATATCGCTGCGTTCCACAGGGACGAAGGACAAGAAGAAGAGGTTTCATGTACAGTCTAAGGCAAGGGTATCCAAACTACGGCCCGCGAAAGAATTGTGCAGAAATGCGCCAATTGAACTAATTTTCCAATGAGTACTGGTAAAAAAAAAATACCTCTTCATAGATTTCAAGTTCATTAATTAAGATTGTGTTTAAAATATATTGATATTCCATATTATGTTAATATTAATTTTATTCACAATTTTACTAATTCTGGACCGTATACTGAGCGATATTTCTTCGTACTTGTTCGGCCTCGATCGGCAGTGTCACTTCGTGGCAATGTAGGTAGCGCGAGCAGTTCGTTACTAACCGTCTTGTGCGCAAGACTTCTTGCAGTGGTGCAGTGTGATTGTAGCAGATCATCACCACCGCCGGTGTCGTACTTATTACAATTTTTGTATTAAAGGCAACTTATGCCCAGTTTTGCTCTAACTGTTCCCAGAATTGGTAGCGAGGAATGATGATAAGGCTACCGGAACTTTAGTCCGTTCTACGACGGCCGGCGTGGTACGGCTATCGGTTACCCCTCCCAGCCGACAAAGGATGTTTCCAGAAGGTTTCCTAGAGTTATTTATTTCTCATTTTATCCGGCCCGTTGAAAGTACTGAATTACCTAATGTGGCCCGCGTTTCGAAAAGTTTGGAGACCCCTGGTCCAAGGCTATATCGAGAGTACAGCGTAGCATTGTGACATGACGGATGAAAGCCGGAGTAACAGACCCAGAGAAGGCATCCATTGCTAGACAGTGGCACGGTAAACATGGTTTCGCCATAACGAATAACCACGCAACAACAGAGGCATTGTTGGAAGCGATGTTTTCTATGCGGTTCGTGCCGAGGCTGTATAAGGAGAACGTACTGGATTTTTCCGGTCAGTCAACATGCCATATGTGCGATGCGTACACTAGACAAAGGCGATGTCTTCATAAGAAACAAATCTATCCTCCCATCAGAGAGGATGTTACATGAGGTTAATGGCCGCAAGAGTTCAGTTGCAGAAAAAGAATCTGGTCGTGAACCTCAGGGGGCTTGTCTCCAAGTCGAACTGATTGGTGGTAAAGTAATCCTGACTTTTGACTTTCCGTTAGTCGAGAATGTGAGGGAGTTGCCGTCCAGCAAGGACAGGAGCCGTTGAACACAGAAGTTGAGGAATCAACATTGTTGGAAGCCGTAACCTAGCCCCGGCTAGTGAAGACGAACTGAAGAATTAGCATGTGCTGTAGTGAAATGTAAAGTTTGTAGATTAGTGATAACGTCAAAATTACTTGTAATTACGAGTTACAAGCGTCCAGTATATCAACTTACAATCCAAACTCCTTGTCTAGTCACTAAATCATGACACATTCGAAACATTCAGGCCGGGGTAGTCGCCTTTAAAGTAAGCCTACATGTTACTTCCAGTAGTAACATTTTTTAATTTTAATATGTTTTTGGTTTTTTATTGCTAGTGGGGTGGGACTAAGTCCCTTGTACTGCGCCCACTTCTGGCCTATTGTACCAGCCCCAGATGTTAGGTGAGGGTGATTGTGGAGCAATTGGTGGGATGAAGATTGGCAGGGGAAACCGAAGTACTCGGAGAAAACCTGCCCCAGCGCCACTTTGTCCACCACAAATCGCACTTGACCAGACCCGGGATCGAACCTGGGCCGCCGCGGTGGGAAGCCAGCGACTAACCGCTTGAGCTATGGCGCGGCCAACGGGTTTGGCTTACTTTAATCTTTGCAAACCTGACTAAACTCACGAACAAGAGTATATAACTTTAATAACAGGCCAGCCGTGACAATTGAACTGTTTGTAGGCTTCCCATCTGCCGGATCTCTTGTGCGGCCTTCAAGAATCTTCCCCATCGTCGTCATAGGCCACGATATTGCTCTCTTCGATCAGTAATACCAACTTTACATCCTTTCAAATTGTTGCTATAGTAACACTTAAGTGCCTCGGCCGATCTTCATTGAACTTGTTACGTATATCATGACACCTGAATCTATTTCAACGGCTGCAACATAAATCTTACCGATCAGTAATACCAACATTACAACCTTACGGGTTGCTGAGGCAGAACCTTAATATTGCTTGAACGCTTGTACCAATCTTCATGAAACTTGGTATGCTTATCATGCCATCTGAGTCCATCTCAGCGGCGCACTCCATAGATCACTCCCATCTGTAATATATCAGCACGGAAGCCCCCCAAATTGTATTTTCTACTGACTTCAATACGCATACATACGTAAGTTTTCTTGTCGTTTCAGATACTGAAATTACAGTAGGCGTTTAGTTCTTACCAGAATTCTGTCAACTTAGTGCACAAACTGCGGATTATTTTGTTTCGCAGTTTCTACCATTGCACAAGTGTAGTTTGACGATGATGTTTCGAACCCACAACAATACCGAATTTATTGTTGCGACCGGAGGAAGCTTTATGTTCTTCTGTGTTGTGCTATAACATGATGCATTATCGAGGACTACAGTGCTCGCAGAATGGGGATACGTGCATTTGTCATATCGTGAAGATAGTCTTGGGATTTCGGC